CACACACACACACACACACACACACACACACACACACACACACACCAATGTTTAAACAATTTTAAATAACTTTTTTCTTCTAAGGACAAATCATACTATACTTCACATGCCCCTGTGCAAAAAATATGTTTTGTAATAATAACGATATATCAGTTTTTTTTCTGCATGTCAGTATTTGACATTAATCTTAATATGTTTATAAAATTTTAATTGATACGTGTTATATCCTCTTTTAAATATGAAAAAATTCAGAATTTAATTTTGTTTTAGAAAATTATTGCAAAGCGAGAAAATGATAAATATATAAATATGTCGAGTTTATGTAAAACTTCTTTATATGAAATAAATTGAATCGATAAATTAATTTTTACAAATTTTGCATTTACAGCTCATAATTTAACACGATACAAAGTATAGTACACTTACAATGAGACAAGTTATGCATCCTATATAATAGAAGTGTCCGTCGAAGTGCATGAGTTCGAGTATTTGACACAATCTGGCGACCAACTTTAGCGTCGTTATAACTTTTTAATGAGATCGTCACGGTCTCTTGCTCGTACATAGCTTTTTTGCGCGGAACTTTGTGTTTTGCACTTTGAATTATTTCGATAACACGCATTTTTCATGCATGTTTTATCATGCTTTTAAACTTTTTCTGATTATTACTGCTTTGATGCGTAAATAAAGTCTAAAATATAAAATTTAAAATTTAAATATTCAAAAACTTGAACTTCTTTTTTTATAATTCTCGCATTTTACAATTTTGTGTGTGTGTGTGTGTGTGTGTGTGTGTGTGTGTATACAACTTAAGCTTAAATGAATTTATAATTTGTATAAGTATAATAAATATGTTTATATTAAATTTCTAAAATGTTTTAAACATTCTGTTCATAATTTGTTAAAATCTCTGTTTCATTCCAGGTCTCTTATCATAATTAAAAAAATAATGATATAACTTGAAATTTGTCAAATATTCATCATTTAACAACGTTTAAATATGCGCAATTATACCAAACATAGGTAAATTAATTGATAAATTGTGCTTGATATAATTGCGCATATTTAAGCATTGTTATAAATAACGAATATATGACAACTTTTAGTTAAATCATTTTTTTTAATTATAATAAGAGATCTGGAATGAAAGAGAGATTTTAAAAGATTATGAACAGAATGTTTAAAACATTTTAGAAATTTAATATAAACATATTCATTATATTTATACAAATTATAAGTTGATTTAAGTTTAAGTTGTGTATAAACACACACACAAACACACACACACACACACACACACACACACACACACACACACATACACACACACACACAAAATTGTAAAATGCGAGTTATAAAAAAGAAGTTCAAGTTTTTTAATATTTAAATTTTTAATTATAAATCATAGCCTATCAGCTCACTAATCTAATCACTGGATGAGTAAAAAATTCCAACTGATAGCGTAATCTGAAAGCATATTATTTCAATGGAATGTATTGGCCTGTAAAATCTTCTCCCCTTTTGTCTTAACGTGGGTTTCTTTCTTCCTTTCTCACGATCAGTTCTCACGATATTGGAAACAGACACTAGCACGAGCAGAAGTCTTTCGAACGGATTTCTTTCGCGGCCGCAAACGCACAAATGCCCGCTGGATGCTTCAGACGCGTCAGTTGTTCCTCTATTTTACGACAACACGGGCACTATTTCTGTCCTACCGAATCTATGCCAATGATATTTCTGTTGCATTTTCGCTCGGACAGCTGACAATCACACGTGTAACTCGAGTAACCGAGGATTGTCTAATAGCATCTACTTGTTACTAGCCATGCGATTTAGATCAAGTTTGTCTAGATCGCACCTCACCGACCACATTCTTTTTTGTCATTAACATTAACATTGCCACCAAATACTAAATATGGATAATAATAAATACTAAACACTAAATATACACTTCTCAACAAAATTAAAGCATCACTTACTTTACCTTCCAAAAATAGGCAAAATTCAAAAGAGTGTAATTTCGTCAAAAATGATCGTATCGAGATGTTCAAAAAAGCATTTTACAGCTTGAAATCTTTACTTTCCAAATCGGTACTTTAGAAAACGATCCTACTGATCTTTCATGGAATTA